CACTTTCCATACCAAAAGCGACTTTCGTTGTTTTGCGTCAAGGTCACCCATTATCGGACCCTAATCGAGCTGATGTGGATTCACCATGTAAGGACCTAATCTCTCAGCTTTTGTCTCTCCTTCGCCCACCACAATACCAATTCAGATAGGCTTGGTATAAGTGTCTTGAATGGAATCTCTGGCGTATGGATGCCAGTAGTTGTTGTTCCAGACAATTACGATGGTCCCGAAATGCATCTGAATGCTAGGTGGCTAAACAGATATCGTTAAATCCGTGCCTCTATTCATGATGTATTGTATAGGTGTGGTGATGAAGTAGCTGATTCTGCTCTCGTTGTAGAGTTCAAGATCAAATCGGATAGCCGGAGGTTAATGCCGATGAGCCTCCGTGATGTTGAAGAGCTTGCGGCAGTAAGTATAGACATATTTTTTTCTTCTCATAACTCATCACAAAGCGTTATAGTTCGGGAGATACGGTGGATACATGACCTCTAGAACGCTACAGGATTGGGTTGTAAGTAGGTAGGTTGCATTAATACAATACCTAAAAAGAGAATTGAACAGCGGTTGGCGATGTCCTTTCAGGCAACGGAGTTGGGGAACTCCAATTCCGATGATTCTAAGTGCAGATGGAAAGACGGCTGTGCCAATAGCCGATGATAAGCTGCCTTTACCGCAAGGACAAATGGCTGGCAAGAAGGTTGATTGTGATAGGCAAGTATTGTGAAGATTATATATGGAGACACTTTAAAACGTATTTTTAGATTGCCGGAAGGTGAAGGATTCTTCGAAACTGACACTTTGGACACCTTCTTTGATTCTGCTTGGTTGGTGAGATTAAATCTGCAAGAATTGGTCTGGGTTTCTAGGTTTCTCAAACATTGTGTTGGTTCCCTGGACGTACTCATTGTAGTGTTATTATGGCTTTGCTGCACCACCTCATAAACTGTGAGAAATCTCGGTCGTGCTTTTTAGTGCCCAAAATCCGAACAAACTTTAGCAATGTTTTCTTAACATAACTAATAATCACTCAGAAGATTTTCATTTTTTGCCTGTCTTCATCTCAACTTACACATTTTCTAATCGAAAATCAACTCTAGTCTTCATTTTTGTTGGCGCTATCACACTAGTGTGTAGGGTTTAGTAAAGTCCTCTCCATAACGATAAGTGTATGCTCCCAGCAATAATTTGATCTTGTACTTCTTCAGTTCTTTCGTATTATACTCTTAAAAATCGCTTGAGTTCCGGCTTTTGGCCTGTAGACATTCACCTTCCTAGCTCAGCGAGTTGTTGTTTACCTTACTGTCAAAGTTAAGACCAAACAATAGTGCGTTAACAAGGGAAGAATACTATATACTAGTAGGGCTGCTCAGTTTTATTTCTAAAATTTTCTCCCATATCTGCCAAACATGTCTCTGGAAAAATTCGGACGTTTTTCCTGTCAAAAAGGGCTTTTTAA